AATTCAAAAATTAGTCACGAAAGGCAACTGTCATTAGTCTATGATCATGAGGCGAAGCCTCTTAACTATTTATAACCCTAGTTCAACTAATAAGATTAGCTTCAATACTAGTGTATTAATTGTGGGGTTGACTTATACCCTACGTTGGGTGTAAGTCAGGAGACTCGTTTACTTACGTAAGGCGAAAACGTTAATATGGTAGCAAAACAGTGGTGCTACATGATGAATAATGTAACGGAATTAACAAAATGCCTGCTTACTTGACAAGAGAATAAAAATTATAATTTTTGCGCAACAAAGCACAGTTACGGATTGTGTAGGAATATAAACAAATTATTATCTATCAAACCGTTATCAATGGAATTCGTATTGTGCTAACCGTAAGGTATCAAAATTGCGCACTTGCGTGTACTTTTTCAATACCAATTAAGAGTATGGGTTTACACTCTATAATAATTATTACATACGATCTTATTCGAGATAATTTAGTATTAGGCTATTGCGTTAGATAAATAAAACTTAAAGAACGACAACTGCGCTCAAATACCCAATTGAATAAAATTGCAAGTCTAGCGTTGACAGAACTAAACTTATAGGGAATTGAAATAATAATTATAACGTACAATTCCATAATGTTAGACCCTTCATTTAACAAATTGGGTTAATTAAGTTAATTGAGTCAATTACAACTAGAACAGTTAGTGTTTAAAATTAATACCATATTAGTAAAAAATTAATTGTCTAGACTAAATCTACAAGGGTGGTAACTTTTCTAGCATACATTACGTATTAATATTGTTACATTGGTTAATAATGATAATATTACGTCACGTCACGCTCATAAATATAATATCGATATATTAATATGCATAACTTTATAATGTTACGTACATAATTATTGATATTAACTGACACCAAAACCCTCACAAAAACACTAATAATCGCTTCTAGGGGCAAAGCCCCCACATAATTTTGATTTAGTTTATATATAATTCTATTTTAAAATAAAAGTTTTGACATTATATGACACAAATAAATACAAAAGGTTTATATTTCTGAGTCCAACTCAGTAATTATACGCTATCCAGACACGAAACTTCGCAGGAAATTCCGAAAACATCTGTCCACCATGAAGAATTGATATTGATTACGCCAAAAAAAATAAACAAACCACTCACAACTACACCACATGGACACAGCCAATAAGAATATAAATAGTCTTTGGACTTTACTTCAGGTGGTGAATTTACTCCAGGTGGTGAATTATTGCACACAAAATAGTACCTAAAACTCAGCGTACTATTGAGGGTCCAAATGCCTGCGATCAATGCTAACCCAATTGATCGGCAACCAAAGCCCTTGGGCTTTGTATAATATGTAAATATTACGACCAACCAATGGCTTAGGATGCTTACAAGCAATGTAGCCAAAGCATTTCCTCGAATATCTCGTTGGGGTGTATCATTATTGTTAACATCAATTAAAGAAATCCGTGGTAACTTTTGTAGTGCTATTTCAGGATCTCTAACCACCGCCTTTCCTCTGAGAAGCCGAATTAGTAAAGCGGGTAAAGCCCAACATAGTAACAATGGTATTGCCGGCCAATCCTGTTCCTGGCATTTTCCGACATCTCTGTAAATTCCAACGATCATGCCGACAACGATAAAATAAATTGAGACAACTATCAAATAGCGTTCGCAAAATGAGATGTTTGCCACGCATTCTGTAAGACGTGTCTTAGTATCAGGGTCGAGGTTAGGACGTTTATTCTCATGAGCAAACGGCCAAATATTCTCAGGGTCAGACTGTCGTTCATTTTCGTCAAGCTGGTTTTCAATGTCGCCATTACTCCCAGGCTGTCCTTCACTTTTGCCGCCATTATGTCCAGACTTCTTATTCGCCTTTGGTCGAACATATTCAAACTTGTCGGCGGGTAGCCAATAACAACATTTGTCCAAGATGGATGTGTCTGTGCGGCTGCCAACAGAGACGTAGTAAAATAGGGGTGTAAATGGACTGGAAAGGCAGGCTAAGGTGTACCACACCTTCGAGGTGAGGGTTGAAAATGGACTGTCAGCAATAATAAATACTGCTGGGATTACTCCCAAGCAATAGAGCGGGACTGGGTTTTGTAGAAAGTCCATGAGAATTTCTATGTTAAAATTGCCAGCCTTATATATTGTCGTAAGTGCATATCAAATAGTAAACATTGACATATAATCATTATTAAGATAGACCAGACAATACCAATAATACGTTTAAGGAATACGCAAAATGTAATTCTATTTTTAACTACGTAAGAATGTAAAGACACTTCTGTAATTAGTGAGGCTTTTCCAAATTTTGATCGTATATGCAGTATTCCATGTACCAGTGACGACATAGCTATAAATTGTCGGCCCGGAGGTTTAATCTCATTGTTGAATTGCTTATTTGGATGCTGCAGTAATAGTCAATAACTTAAAAGTTATTAACACCGCGAGTCAGTGTATGCACGATAAGAACGGTGTTGTGATACACTTTTTTTTTATTGTTACCTTATTAAGTATTCAACATGAGCATCAGAATTACGCCTAAATAAAGTTGTTACATGAACTTAATTGTAAATGGAAACGTGATAAAAGATTTTCGGACTGATAAATTACATCATCGACAACAGAAAAAGTTGTCTACTTATTAAATTTATTTGCATAAAGACAAATATAATATTGGTCTTTGGGAAAACTGGAGAAAACTAGTATGTTATCTCGATATTGTTTTAAATTAGATTGAAAAATCAATGCTGTTTAGAAATTAACGTAAACACTAAATCGAATTTGTTTTGGTTATCTAAAGCGCAGTTGTAAATTGGAATAATTATGCGAATAAAGGCTTGCATGTTAGTACATACAAAACTCGTCATCAACTGGTCAATTTTACAGAATTATAGTTGTGTGTTTTCGAATGCCAAATAGCAGTCAATGATAATCATAATTTGGCATTTTTATTGCATAGCCTAATTATTAGTAACAAAATTTCATTCGTGTTAGTGAAAGTGTTTGTATTAACAAGAATAAACATTTATTGAGTGACGTTTTTTTTATCAATGTTAAACTTTTAATGTTATTGTTATTACGAAAACGGTCAAGCGTTTTGTAACTTAAAAGTTTTTTACATGGCCTTATCAGTGGTGCCTCAAACAAACATTCATATTTTGAGAAATAGATACAGCAATTCAAGTTCGTAATCAGTAGCTTAACAAAGTGGGTTTTTTTGCCACTAATAATTTCATTGAGCATCATCTTGCATATCGCTGAGCTGATTATCTTACATTCATCTATGTTACACTGCTCTAGACTCCAATCATCGTTCATATTTATTTACGTAATTCTGATAATGATTGGTACACTAAACTTGTACAACTCTGCAATCGCAAAAATCTCAAAATCTTATCGAACTTTATTCATCAAGTTATTATTAGAATTCTCGATAATTGTTATTCTATTTACGGACTTTGTACTTAATCAACATGTAATTCCGCATGATATATTTGCAAAATTATTGGAGATACTATCCGCAACCATACGCTCACGACTTTTTGAATTGGATTTTATCCAATTGTATCGAAGCTGATACAGGTACATTTTACTGAAAAGAAGTTAATTTCAAGCTTGACATTAGATGTCGACTGCCACTTGGAAGTTTTAGAGTTGTACATTAATTACGTTTAGCCAGATTAACTATTCAGATATATTTAACTCGAATGTTTAGTCTTTATTGAAAGCGCAGTAAATAAAATTATCAGTTTTCTGCACAAATTCAAGACTGTATTCCTACATTACAGACAGTAGTTTAGTGTCTTCTGCATTATCAAACACTAGTAAACGGCATGTTGGTTATGCTTAGATTACTACAATAAATCATTATGTGCAACAAAATTATTTCGAATAAACGAAGATTTATGTATATGTAAATTTAGTTTAACGATATTATAAAGTTTTCAAACCCGTATGTTTCAAAACCATGCACTTAGGTAAATTTATCTGTATAACAAAGTTTATTATACAATCAACTAATCAGAAATATCAATTTCAATATTTCAGTTTAACCATCATTAAATTCCAAGCTCTCACATTATTGTGTTTTCTCTCTCAGTTACTTCAAAGGCCTTTTCTTGTTTCGTTATATTGTTTTTCCATTATACGCTTGTCCACTGTCAAATAATACCGAAAATAATGTATTCACGTTAAAGATAGAGAAACATTCATGTCAAAAAACGCAAACAACGCTTACAATTGTTCAAAAAAAAACATGTCAGAAGAAAGAGAGTAATTTATGTTTAAAATTACAAACAAATGTGGCATTGGGAATCTACTGTTAGTGAATTTTGAACAACATTTAGCGTTTTACAGAAAAAGCGTACTTTTTTACCGGACAGTTGGGTCGAAACCCCATTTTTTTAAGTTTACAACTAGTAATTGTAGAGATTTGGCGCTTCAATCGCACCTAGACAAATATAATCAAACGTCAGTGAGAAAGTAAATCATTTTCGAATGGGGTTGCATGACGCGACATTTGAAGATTTCTTTGACAATGTCCACGAGCTTGCTGAGTTGTTTACAAGTCTTTTGTGGTTTGAAAGACAGTTTGTATGTGTACCTGATGAGGTAATACATAATCTGCGAAAGGTCTGCGTGTGTCAACACTCAGGATTCTCACAAACAAAGATGCTACTTATCAATATGACTGTTTGATATGTAAATGTCTAGGGAAACTAAAGACGGGGGAAATGGTGGTTGTCAGCATGATGCAGAAGACAGAAAAAAGAAAAAATTTATAAAAAAAGAAAGGCATTAAAGCACAAGTCTTTCTGCAACACTCAAATTAAAAATGGCATATGTCATTAATATTATTAGACAAAATGCCAACTATCAGATTCTGTTCAATAGTTCCGTTGACTAATGTTTTCTCATTGCCAACACTTGCTATTATATATGCTAATTAATTTAAGCATATTACATAAT